GAGTGCAATAGCACACAATTGATCTTTCTTCGCCATATTTAAACAAACTTTTTGGTCCATATCGAGGGTACCATACCATCTTAATACGGTCACCAACGGGCCATGAAAATTTGACCGTATTAACGGGGTAGGGTCAAATTTCATGACTGGTCTACTTTGAGTGACGATTTCACAGACATCACAATTTCTCTTAAAAACAAATGCTCTTTAATAAGCATTCGAAATGCAGACATAATTCTAAAAGAAGTTTTAAAAACTTTAAAAAGTACATAAGATATTAACTGAATGGAAAGATGAACAGTACTGGTTTGAGTGGCCGTATTAACGGGATAAAATTACAGAGGATTATACAGGTTGGGATTTCAGAATGTGGCCGTTGACCGTGTTAACGGGGTGGCCGGATAAACGGGGTTTTCTTATAAGAAAATGTTTGAGCGTTTTGCCCGGGAAAAAAAAAAAACACCGGACGTAATTAATAACGAGGTGACCGTAAAGCGGGATTCCACTGTAAATTGTAAACTGGGTAAATTGTACATACCTGCAATCATATTTAACAGAAAACTCTGTGGCGAGTACCTCTGTTGTAGTGTCTGTGCCGTGGTAACGTTGATTACTTCTCAGGCATCGAACTTCACCGTTATTGTCAAGCCCTTTGTAAGTGCTATACAATTCGCTGTCCGACCAAGGGATACAAAGCCATTTTTCCTGTCCTTTAGTAGGGGGAAGGGAACCAGGGCATTTTTGAGAAGATGACTGTGGACTAACCAAGTCTGAATCCGTTTGGTTTAAGACGCAAGTTGCTTCTGAAGTGATTGGTGTCAGAACTAGAACTGTGTGATCATTTGCTCTGGGGCACCTGAACTGAAGGCAAACCACTTTATTATCTGATCCAGAAGTAGCCACCCTTGGCATCCTGAGGTGAAAACCATATTCACCAATCTGTGATTGGTCATCCTTTTTGTAGCTAGCCGCCATAAATAGGACACTACTTCCTGTTATTGTTACTTTAATAAAGCATGTTTCGCCACGTTCAGAAGATAACCATTCAGATAGGTCTGCCAGCGTATTAAGCAATGCGTATTCCTCGGGGGTAGTGTGGGGTTGTTTAAATACAAATTGGCTACCTTTTGGTTGCGGTTGTGCGCTATTCAGTGACTGTTCACACATGCTCCTCTCTCTTCCGCCCGGTCTATCGTCATAGTAAATTGGTCCTGTTTGGTTCACCAGGCCGCTATAAAATTCAAATAAGCTTATGGTTTTACCGGCGCCCTTAACTTCTTTTACACCGCCTTTAACGTGCCTAAAGGTCGTATTAAAGTCTCGAAGAGCAGGATCGGGATCGTAATACCTGAAGTTCTTTTCAGCTTGAAGGTAATACTCCTTGTCTTTCCATATCGGCATGCAGATGACACCATGCTTTGTATTGCGCTTCACATACCCTTTGTGATCTTTGCGAATGGCCGTTATTATAACGCCATCTTCTACGGGGTTAGTTGCTACTCTTAAACCGACGATCATCGACGGCCAATCAAAATTAAGATTTTCTTGTGCTATGGATTGTGTCACAGTTCCAGCAAGAAAGATACGATTTGAACGCTTTCCTCTTCTTTTGCTCCCATTTTGAGGAAAAAAATCACCAGTCTCCCTCCAACGACCCGTTTTCCTGTCGAGCCAGTAAAGTTTTACTGAGGCATTTCCATCGGACACAGTTATATTTAGCTTTTCCGGATCTAAATACACTTTCATGGGTTTAGACATAGCCAGGGGTTTTCCATTGTCATCTTCTAAATTCAGCTTTATCATGCCGTACGTTTCTAACATCTCTACCTCGCCATCTTCATTCATGGTAGTAAAATCTCCCGGAGCTGTCAGAATGTCAGATTGGTTACGAGGATCGGTGACACTGACTGTGACTTTTGCATTTCCACTGAAAACAGAACCATCTTGAGTCAAGAGGGAATTTTCCGGTATTTCAAGGTCAGCAAAACTATCTGACTCGCCACCTAACGGCAATTCTAATGGTTCTGAGGCATTAAAAGTGATAGGCTTTGGTTTTTCTCTTAGTTTCACTCGATACGTGACTGTCTGTCCTTCATTTAAGTTAAAAATTTTGTCTTCTTCTTGAAATTTTTTGATAATCCGATCTCTAAAAGTCACAATCACCCTTTTCGTTTTTTTTGGAACAGCGAAAGAAAAGTCGCCATTTGCATCGGTTCTATCAACCAGTTCTCCAGCAAATATTAGTTCCACTAAAATGGCTGCGCTGTCATCTTGACCTATAACTTTACCTCGTATCATCGTTTGTTTTTCTATGCATTTTCCACACCCACAAGTTTTAATTATGGAGAGATTGAACGATACAAGGGCCCTACACTGAACTAGAACACTGTCATACGAGCGAGGCCCACAGCATAGGGAAGGTTCCGTGCATGATGAAGAATTGAAAGTTGTATTTTCCGACACGCATGCAGCAGGTTTACACTCTCCAACGTCTACGCTCGTGGTGTTTTTGCCATCAATAGTGCAACCGGTAGGCAATGTCTCGTTCTTGGAAATAGGTGTTGGAGAGCAAGAGTCCGCAGATTTTTCTGAAAACAAAAAAAGATAAAATGCTTTTCTCTATGAATTTATCACAGGCATCCCAAGCTCAAGTCTTAAGAAAAGCGAAGAATTAATTCTCGGACACGTACGTATTTATTCATGGCAGACACGAAAGCGTCACGTGTTGTGTGAGTCCCGGGTGGAAAGAACCCTGGTGAGTTTGATCTGAAGCGGTGTTAGGCTACGAGAAGAACCGTTGAGAATTTGAACGCCCGATGGGGGAGGACATCCCATATAACAAAGACGGGGAGTGCTTGACAAAAATTTTGAAAAGAACCACTAAGAGGTACAAGATCCTGATTCGTAGGCGTGGCTTGAAATATTTTTCACCCCTTAGAGATACCAATTCTAAAACAACACAACATCATTTTGGCTCAATACCCTAAAGGTACCGCGAAAGTTCCTGCGGTGGAACCTTGTTCTAGGTTCGTCCTCCTTTTTGAAAGAAAATATATAATTCTGATATGGTAAGCCCTGCCCTTTTTATGTGGAAATGACTCGTCGTCGATCTTGCATTTCGGTTAAGGTTTATAAGATTTGTAAGGGTTAAGTAATGTAGCGTGCGTAGTCTACCGACATGAAATGTAAACCAAGTTTTACACTGAGAGGGCTTATAAAAATATGACGTTTATACTTAGGGAGGAGGTGGGTTGAGATTCAACTGATGACACTAACAGCATCGCTAAAAATGCGAAACAAAACGATTCGTTTCTTACCCAATACTATCAACTCAGCTGAAGCTGAAAATTCTGAACCAAACTGATTTGTTACGCGACAACGGAAACTTCCAGTCAGACCAGTCACGTCAGGAATTTCAAGAGTATTGCTATAGTTGAACAAGTCCTTGTCGATGATGTTATTGTCCTTAAACCTAGAAAAAGTGTAAAAGATTGAGTAGCTGCTCTTAATTCATATTTGAACTTTTAACAATTAGACGACGAGACTGATCGAGTTGCCATGTTGTGAGCGAAAAGTCAACGAGGCTAAGCTAATCAGATCGCGACACGGACTTGTAAGGTCATAACATCAGCCTCTCGGCTAACGGATCCCATGTAAAAGGTAACTACAGTGAAACCTGTATTAAGCGGACAGCTTTGGGACCCTCACTAGTGCCCGCTTAACACAGGGTGTCCGCTCAAAACAGGTTCTAATATGTTGTTCAATAATAGTTAATTATTAACCCTTTTATAGCACAGTGTAACCCAGTGTAAGATCAAGGACTAGCTAAGACTGCTCGTAGTACAATGTCCAGTCAATCAAAGCATCAATCTGGAATAATCTCTTAGCTTTAAAACGATATCGCTGAACAATGCTAAGGAGTAAGTCTCAGTTGAAGTGATTGACTGTCCTACAAGGGTAACAAAGCTTAGTGCTACACTTATTGACTTGATTGTGACGAACAACCCGCACAATATTGTCAAACAGGCAGCGGTCCCCTTCAGTTTAAGCGATCATGATCTCGTTTTGTGCGTTAGTAAAATAAACGCTCTTAACTATGCACCCAAAATAATTGAATGCAGAGACTATGGAAATTACTCGCCTGAGGAGTTTTGTGAAAGCTTGAGCCAAATCAATTGGGACTCTGTCAGAAACGCTTCTGACGTAAACGATGCCTTGGATTTCTTTAATGTCAATTTTAAAGAGCGGTGTGATCTGCACGCACCTTTCCTTTGATTCAAAAGAAAGTCCGGGGTGTTAACTACCCATGGTTGACACATGAAATACAAATAAAGAGATGGATTGGAGTGCCTTCAGGGGATTGAGAAAAAAAAGCCAACTACAATTGGAACCTTATCCAGGAAAACATTGCTGACTCAAAATCTTTTTGGAGAGCTGCGAAAACCAAAACCGTCCATGTCTTCCATCAAAGTCGATGGCAATCTCAAGACAGATAAGAATGCCATTGCTAAAGGTTTTAATTAATTACTTCTTCGTCTCAATTGTTAAGACAATCAGTGAAAAATTATCTCAAGAATCGTCTATATCTTGCCGACAGCAGTCACCGTTGCTAAGTACCAGTCGCGGATGTAGGGGAGGGGACCGGGGA